CGATGTATTATGTGAAGGAAAAATAATTTGTTTTTCCTTGGTTGATAACAATAGTTTATTTAACATAATATACACAAATATTTGTACTAATTGCTTTGCTAGTGCCTATTTTTAAATGCTAACTGGTAAGGTTACATTCAAAATAAAGTCTCGATGATGAAATTTTTTAAATTATTAAAATATATAAAGTGTGCAAACAAAAAATGCCTTTAATCTATATATATATATATAAATGAAAGTATGTCTGTCTGTCCGTCTGTTTGTCCTTTGTGCATTGCTAAACCATTCATCCGATCGCCATGAAACTTTGGGAAGTTATTCCGTACAATCATGGGAAGGTTTCTGGCATAGTATTTCTGTCTTACGATAATTTTATATATGTAAAAAAAAAAAAATGTAAATGTTTTTCTGTTCAAAGCCGCAAAAAAATGTGACGCTATAAACTGTAGCGCCAAAACGGCTTTACCGATTTTAATGGAACTTGGCTGAAGTCTTAAAAAATTATCGAAATCGGACAGTTCGTTGCAGAGTTACAGAGTTACAGAGTTTTAAACATTTACTGCTTTCTCTTCAGAAAAGACCGTTTCCTTTTGTTTCCTCAAAACCGAAGGTCGGCAAGTATTTTTTTTATTGATTAATCGAAAATTTTATAATTACTACAGTAATTGAAATTATCATTTGAAGAAGTTATATGATTCTCCTTATGTAGGGCAATAATATTATATGTTTTTTATATTAATTTTTTAATTTAATTTTATAAGCTCAACTCAGACTGTTTCTGATGATTATGAATGACAGGCGTATTCACTCAGATGATTACGAATGTTCAATTTGAATCATGAGAAAAAAATCATTAGAATTAGTTTAAATTGGAGCCATTTTACAGACAAATTTATTTCCCAACGTTTTAAAAATGACAGATGTCTTTTGCTATTAATCTACTCATATGTGCTTCCTATTTTCTTTCTTTTTCATTTTGCCAGGCTAAGCGACAGCAGCCCGTGGCCGGGTAAAGCTAGTAAATAATAAAGTATATATCACCAGGAAAAAAAGAGTAGTCGAATAGTAAAAGCAGTGTCTTTAAAGAGGAAGAAATTATCAAGTATACCAAAACTAATGGACAGTATCTTTGTTAATAATTGTCCGATTTTTAAGATTTTTTCTTTGTTTTGTAGGTAATTTATTAATCTTTTAACTATCATGAGTACAATAAAAAAATGAATAGAAAAATGTTTTTCGCAAATGAGTTTTCCCCCCTTAAATTTCGCGGGGATAAGACTATTTTTCCTACACGAAGCTAAAGAAGATCTTTAAAATGTGTGCTCAAAAATTGGATTTGATGAAGAATGGACGAAGTTATAGCGTTGCGACAAAAACAGCAAATTTTTAGATATAACATATAAGATTAATTAATTCTAGCCATAGATTAATAAATATCTCGTAAAAACGGTTGGAAGTCGCAACTGCGTCACAGGGGCACATGCGGCCTCCGACGCCGCGGTTCTCCACATATATTGTATTATCTAATTCTGAGAATGTTAATCTAGGAGACGCTTACTGATGGAAGGCGGAGTGAAAACTAATTCTTGAATGGTTCCTTATGTAACTCGCAAAAGGTTAGACCCGCCTAAACATCTCGTTTTATATTTATTAACTCACTGAACCACATCTATTCTGCCTCACTGGAATTTTTCGTTAACTCTATATGAGTAAATATTAATATATATCATATTATTTTCTTATTTATAACAATATCAGCAAAAAGTGGGCATCTCTATCCTCTTATTACAATTCCTCTCCACAATTCAATCAGATGCCGGCTAAGTATATATTATGCAACAAGGTTATAATTTTCTTTATGCATTATTTGTTTTTCTTTTTTTCCCTTCTGTTTTTAGTATGAAACAGAATTTCGATCACCTCTCACAAAGCAGTGTGAGTAGGTATAATTTTTTATTGTTTTTGTTACCTTTTATCTTTTCTATTCATAAGAGTGTATTTTTTTGAAGTGTATTTTAAAAGTATTTTATTTTTTACTTACCTTCTGCTCTCTCCTCTCTATGTGGGTATGTGTATATATATATATATATATATATATATATATATATATATATATATATATATATATATGTGTGTGTGTGTGTGTGTGTGTGTGTTTGTTTTTTCTTTTTCTGCTTGTAATCTATTGCGTCAGATAGATCACAATACTTTTCTACTTTTTCACAATACCTTCACATGGTTTCACTTAAACGTCTTAAGGAACATGTATAAATCGTTTATTTACTCTAGTTATTTTCTTTTATTATTATCTTTTTTTTTTTTATTATATTGTAGCACTAAAATTATTTTATAACCTATAAAACTTATTTAGCATTTCTTTCCAATTTTATTTAGTTATAAGTATGTTGTTGTTTTTTGTACCAATATTATAATATTGTAACAGTTATAACCATCCGCGTTCCTTAATATAACCTCCAAAAATATGTATATACTCATTTCATTACTTAGATTTACTTACTCTTTATTATAATAGGTCATCTGGACAGATTTATTGTCAATTGGTTTAAACAATATTGTTATTTTCAACTGACCTAGTCCCAGAATAAAGATGATTTTCTATTTCTATTTCCATTTCTAGCACTCTTGCTCAATCTCCAATGGGATTTAGCCCCAGTGACGCGGTTGAGAGAGAAGTGCAGGGATCTCCTGGCCATGCTTTTCCGTCCACAGTTAGAGGGACAAGTCTGGTTTGGAGTTCTCTCACCAGATTGTAAATATTGTATATAGGTATGTATGTGTTCTTTTTATTAATTTATTTTTAGGTTATTTTATTCTTATTTATTGTATATATATTATTTTTCTGTATAATTTATTTTATTTACTGTACATAGAGTGTGAATGTGATCTGTGAACACTATTATAAATGTCCTTGAGACAGATTGTAATAGTTTTCAAAAAATAAAAATAAAAAATTTCTATTTCTATATTTAATTCAACCAATATTAGTTGACACGTTTGAATAATTCGCATAATATATTTCTCAATGAACAATTGACAACATAACATAGAAATAAGTTAATGGAATATATTATGAGATAGAGGAAATAATATTCTTTTCCTCAGTCGAATTACATTAGTTCATTTATAATTATTGTTGCCTAAATGCGAGACCGAGACGAGTCTTGGTGCTGCAAATTCAGTCTTTGCCATGGTCTTGGTCTTGTGCAAGAGTCTGCCAACAGTCTTGCAGTTACTTATTATCTTATTGCTATAGAGATATTACTGTAATTTTTTAGGTAGAATAATCCTAACTAAGCCCTTATGGAAAATTAGAATAGTTAAATGCAAAAGTATATTGGTATTACCAATAAACAAAATGCAAGACCAAGACCGATTTTGGGAAACATTGTTAATAATAATAGACCAAAACATGTCGTAATTACTTCAGACTGTATATTTGCTAATAGTGGTCCGAATTCAATGTTTTTTTTTTGTTTTGGAATTTAGTAATCTTTTAAATAACTAGAGGGTTCGCCCAATGGCTGACCAACCTCCATTTTACAAATCATACAACAGCTCATTTAATTGCACTACTCGTTGTTTAAATTTTATAACTTTAATTTAAATGTATTTTGTTGTTCAAATTGTATTATTTTTTATCAACATATAATAAACTGAAACAAACCTCAGTTCAGACAAGTTTTTAATTTCTTTAAAAATCTTAAATATCGCGCTTTAATTCCAATTTATATTATCAAATAATTATAATTATTCTTATTGCCAATTAATATTATCAAATAATTATAATTATTCTTATTGCCAATTTATATTATCAAATAATTATAATTATTCTTATTGCCAATTTGTAACCATAATATATATTTAAATTGACCAGCTTCGTATAAGGCCAACAATAATTTCAGCCATTTATTCTTAACATTTTCATTGTATGTTTATTGTACTTCTATTTCTATTTCATAATAATTAATTAATTGTGGTTAAGGAAAAATCTATAGATCGAAAAATAATTACTGTCTCCTAGGTCAAATCAAACTACCATCTTATTTATACAAATTTATACTCTAAAATCTTCACTTTGTATCAAGAAAGTAGGAAGTAACAGGAGCTCAACACATATGTAATTAAATGAACAGCTGTAAAATTTGTAAAATAATCGCCTAATAATTTAAGCTCCTGTTATCTCCTACTCTCCTAATACTAAAATAAAAAATAAAATATGAAAGTCACTAAAAACCTTTTTATATGATAGACATAAATATATGTTGGTTGCTATGTGTAGCTTTTAATCTTCCTATTTTAGCACTTGAATTATTTTTTTTACAATTTTTTTTTTCTCATCCAAATACGTATTGTGTAATAGTGATAATCTAAAATACATATGATTAGTGATAAGAAAAGGGAGGAACAATATATAATAATAAAATAATGTATATGTAAGTGTTATTTAAAAATTGGATTGATCATTCTCAGTTAGCAGTTGAAATAATCATGTTTAGCAGGACAGTATTTCTCACTTTCAAAAGCTTTTCAGCAAATTATTATCGATATAAATAATCCATTATAACACCACAAACATTTCTTGCAAGGAAATTAAGCTCTTATTAAAATGTATATATTTTTTTTTTCATCTTGGTTAACGTTTCGAGCCTATTGGCTCATTTTCTAATTTATCATTTATCCATCATCATCATGAACTTCTCATTAATGAATTCCTAATTTTTAAAATTAATGTAAAATATTTTGTTGTGATGTAATTCTATGTGGTAAATAATGCAATTTACAGTGATTATAAAACTTGTTATAATTTGTCTATTATATCTTATTATTGTAGAGATGTAAAATTTCTCTATTTTTGTAGTCCATAAAGAAAATAAGAATATATACAGCCCTACAATAATAAGATATAAAGAAGATATTAACATTATAATCAGTGCAAATTAAAAAAAAAAAGAAAGGTTAAATAGAAAATGAGACATAATCGACATTGCACAAGTATAATTAGTTGAATAAATTTGATTAAACGGTCAAGTTTCTTTGTAAAAAAACTTTGTTGTAAAAAGAAAACACCCATATAAAATATAATGTATTTTAAAATAAATATATTTATTTTAATTATAAGTATATTTGATTATTGTAATTATTAATTGAGATAATTTATGGTTCTTTGAAAAAAAGTAGTCTCCATAGTCTACAAATCTTGTATTATTGAATCGACCATACTTTCGTTTTTTATGTTATTATGATTTATGTTAAAATGTAATATCACAAATTGATTTAATATCTTCTAAAATAATTGCTCAAAACTTTAATTGCCGCTCCACTAAGTTTTATTAATTTAAATTGTTTTATTTAGTAGGAGCTGGAGTTGGTTTAGGTTCTGGAGTTGGCTGAGGCTCTGGAGTTGGTTTAGGTTCTGGAGTTGGCTGAGGTTCTGGAGTTGGCTGAGGTTCTGGAGTTGGCTGAGGTTCAGGAGTTGGCTGAGGTTCTGGAGTTGGCTGAGGTTCTGGAGTTGGTTTAGGTTCTGGAGTTGGCTGAGGTTCTGGAGTTGGTTTAGGTTCTGGAGTTGGTTGAGGCTCTGGAGTTGGCTGAGGTTCTGGAGTTGGCTGAGGTTCTGGAGTTGGCTGAGGTTTGGGCGTGGTCGGAGGTTCGGGCGTGGTCGGAGGTCTGGGCGGCAGAGTAGGCATGAGGGAGTTGGGCCCACAAGGAAGGACCATGTTGAAGCGGCAGGATTGGTGTACTTCGTCGAAGTTCATGCAGTCCGAGCAGGTCTTCTTGACCACTTGCCCGTCGACGCACTCCAGGTAATCCCTGCAGGATTTCCCGTCCCTTCGCTTCAGGTTCTCCTCGCATACGTCGCCTACACTCCTTCTGCTCCTCCTGGAACCTTCGTGGCTGTTCCTCAAGCCCTCGATGACCTGACACTCTCCCTTTTCATGATCGAAGACCTCGGCAGCCCCGCAGTACTTGGTATAGATCCTACCGTTCCGGCACTGATAGTACAGACTGTTGCTACCAGAGTGCGAGAACGTCTTGCCTTCTTCGCACCTCGATTTGCCATATTTACATCCTAATAAATTAACAGTTTCGCAGGTTCGTGTGCGAGGGTTAAACTGTTGACCGACTTGGCATTGCTTCAGGTACCACCTTCCGTTTTCACATTCTGCGTATTTGCGACATCTTGTTCCATCGACGAGATCTCTTGCTCCGTTCAAACAGAACGGGCTGGCAGCGTAAACTCCTGTAAAAAAAAAATAAATAAATCATTAAAATAATAAATAGGGTGAACCATTTATCGACAGGAGACTCTAGTAATGGACAGGTAGGACTTTAAATGTAAATAATAAGCTTCATTGTTTATTTTAAAGCTTCCAGTTTTTTTTTTTTTAGATTGAAGAACAAGACCCTCTATTGACAACTGCATGAACAAAGTTCCCAAAAGAAAATTTTATAATGCCAATCGTTGTTGTTTCTATAGTGTTCTTGAGATCAGTGTGTTTCATATCTTCCTTCTACCAGTTTTGCTAAGAGCAAGTTGAACATTTATGTTATCTTATCTTTTTTTGAGGTATGTTCATTATTCCTTCGGCCTTCCTATATTTTTCACAGCCTATAATTCAAATATTCCATTCAATCCTGTCCCACTAGATCTCGTACCTCCGACCTCTATCCACCACCCCACCGAACTGCAGCGTTTGACAAATCCTTTATAATTCAAGCCGTCTCCTTTTGAAATACCATCCTTTCCGATATCCGACGTGTACAATCAGTTTCCTCATTTAAATCTCTGCTTTTTAACCACCTACTCCTTTTCCAATCCGACTGATCATGAAATGTAGATAAGAGAACGTCTTAAAGTTCCCCAGGAATGATTTTCTTTAATTATGCTATTTTATTTTTACATGTTTGTATTATACATATCAGTATGTTTTTATTGTAATTGTTTTATTTTTTGTTTTATTCTTTTTCCAAAATCTTAATCTTACTAAGAATTGTAAATAATTAATTTTATGTATGGCCACACAGGCATTTATTCTGTATCTGTAATTTGTCCTAAAGGGACAACAGTCCCAGGATAATAAAAAAATATTTTCATTTCATTTCATTATTGGTACCGATCCCCTGTCCATTACGAAAACAAGTGCAAAAAGGTGTTTTTTTTTTTCAAATTTTGATTTCCCATGTATAACTGAATATCTATTCAATTTTAAAGTGATAAATAGAAAAAGAAGACCCTAGAAATTCTAAATATCCAACGTAGGATTTTATACTATAAACTCGTAACTCTAAAAATTACAGCGGCATGAGCCAAAAAAGACAAAAAATTCTTTAGTTATTTTAACTAATCATACAAATTATTTTACTAAACTTTACAATGGAAAATAATAGTTTAATCATTAATATTCCGACAATCGATAATCATTTATTCAGATGTACTTTCAAATCTCTTTAGACATCTCTAGGACTTTTGATTGACAGAATGAATAACTCCAATTTCAACATTCTTTATTATTAATTTTAGTTATGTTTTTAGTGGCAAAATTTATACCTTCATTCACAGTTCTATATTTCAACGCTGCAATCACTTACTCTGACTGTCTACATAGATACAACTTTTCCAACTAGGAATATCACTAAAATTACTTTATTTAAAAATGTTAAAAATTGTAGTGTCATTCTGTCAACTGAAAGGCTGAGATACTGAAGTTGCCTGGTTTATAAAAGAAGATGGAGTAATTCGATTTTAATTGCCTACCGTCAAAGTAATAGACTTTTTGTAATTTTAATGGTCTTAATGATCCGTAAGTTATCCGTGAGCTTTAAGCTTTGGCTCCGTTTAAAATACACTCCTAAAATTTGTATAATAGTCTGACATTGCCTGAAAATAATTTCTATTCAAAATAGCAAAATGAATGTTGTGAGTTGCGCGCACCAGATTTTTTAAAGTTAAATTAGATCAGAGCTAAGCTTACTATCTCTCTTCATATATTTTAAAATCTTATTAGATTACTTTTTTTAATTTAATGGGTCAAGAAGTAAAATTAATTTCATTAAGGCAGTATGGCAGGATTCGAACTACCGGATTTTTAAAATTGTTTTCCTCTGAAGTACTCAAAGGTGTTTATTAGAAATAATAAAATTTTAAAATAGTTAATTATTTATATATTATATATCTCAAATATAACTCATTATATCACTCAAAGATCTGATGCGACGTGCGCATCACACAACCTTTACTTATCATGCTACTAAAATCAAGTGAGATATCTGCCTTGTTGCAGAATGATAAAAAAAATCTGGAATAATCCACGATTTTATGAAAAACAGAACATAAAGTAGTTTAGTCGGTTAAAAATTGGGGGCGCAGTAGCCGAACGGACTAATACTGAGCACACGCGTTGCCAGGCAACCTGATAACCGAACTAATAGATAATAAAATAATTTAGTTCGCGTCCTGGGACCAGGGGGGGATTTTAACTTTGGCATTAATCCTCCTCTCGCTTTAACCCGGGAAAACCCTTGTATAGCCTAAACGCCGAGAAGGGGGAGAACAAAAAACAAATTGCTTTAAATGTTTTTGACAAATAAATTCATAAATAAGATAAACTCTACTTACATTTGAAGGAAAATTTGTCTAGCTTAATATGAAATAATTGTTAGTAACTCAAACTACATATTTTTGGAATTATCGCTTTCTATGAAAGAAAAACGTCATTTATAATATAAAGTTTTTTGTAGTGTTGAGGTCTAGTATATCACCTCTTTAAATAATTCCCTTTACCTAAGGGGCATTCTATATAAATAAGTGGTTTTTAACCGACTGACCTGAGTTCTGTTGTCAGATGAGAGTAATCTAGAATTTAAAAAGTTTTCAGAAATGATAACATTAAAGTCCGTTTAATTTTACATTTAAATTACGAGTTTAAGCAAAATTGTTTGAGCCCTTTTTGAAATAATGGGAAAAAATTTTGTAATAATTTTCGGGAAGTTTATTTTTCTTTACTATAAATACCATATATGTATTTGTGTTAGTAATATACTAATATAAAAATGTCCTAATCAATACATTATAGGTGGGGAACATTTTTGTTATTAGTGGCTACTACACAGTGAGTTTAAAAAATTGATGATGGAGGCCGCAATATTTTTTTTTTTTTGCTACTTTTATTTATAAGTAAATACAAATTATCCACATATTTCAATAGTACTTGGTGCAGACACACCCCTTTTTATCAAATTCTTAACATATAATCTCTAAAACTTCGTAAATAGCATCATTTCATCGTAATCTACAAATATTATGATTACGAAAATTCTTGAAATCGGTGCGTTTTTAATCTGGAGATCGGCACACTTTGTCTATTTAATTGAGTCCTCAAAACTAATAAATACCCATTATCTTTCCATTTGAATCATAAGACAACATGATAACAAAGTAAAAAAAAATATAGCCTACAAAATTATTTGGCCGTGTGACCTCAACCCCCAGTCAAATGCAATTTCAAAATAACGAGGTCATATAGGCCAAACGGCCCAATCTTGTAGGTCATTTTTTTTTTCTTCTGAGTTTGTGATCATATTTTTTTACGATTCATGTGCAAAGAAAAGAGGTATTCGCGTGTTTTTAGTGTCTAAAACTTTTCGTAAATATAATGTATGTTGGTAACGATGAGATGAAGCTATTTATTAATGGTTAGCCGGATATTAATAATTTGATAAAAAGGGATCTGAACCACAGACTACAACTTAATTCTATTAATTTTTAAATTTTCGTAAGCGAAATAAGGAAGTATAAATTAATTCTCCTCGGCAGATTCTCTATATGTGCCATATATCATCACATATATTTATAAATCATTTAAAAATAATGTTATGAATAAATAAATCATGCCATCGCCATGTCAGTATTAAAAAAGAATATATTTTATTGTTTTCCATGCTCTTTACATAATTTTAATCGATTTTTTTTAAACGTTGTATTGACGTAATGAAACCAGAATTACGTATGCAATTAATTCGATTGTAATTTGTGTTAATCAAAGATGTAATACATTTGCGTATATTAATTTTTTTTTATAATATATGTTTATAAAACAATAATTATTTAAATTACATTAAATAAATTATAACTTGCCACAAAGTAGTAATCCAATATGAAGAATCCAATTCATTTCAGTGCTGTTCCTCTGCCAATGCTACCAGCTTAAGTAAAATTTATATTAATTTGTAGTAGCTAGGTATCTTATCTGTAGAAATTCTCTTCTGGTATTGGTTTTTTTAAATTATCGAAAGTGCTTTAATAAAGATAACGTTCAGAAAAGTCCATTAGTTATCATAATTGTAAAATTGAACGCAACAATTCGCGTTATCTCGAGTTTCATCAGTTGTTCAGATCAATTTGTGCGTTTTCTTTTTAACACCAACATAATTCTGGCCCTTATAACCTTTATGTTACATTAAGCCATTTGTAATGTTTTGGTCTATATTTGATAATAAAAAAAAAGAAAAAAAATTGGTGCGGTATACGTATCACACAACTTCTACTTACCATCCTACATTCATTATAAATAGGTATTTCATGCGTAGTGATATGGAAACAGTTATAGACTGAACAACCTATTAATTAAAATAGTCCGCCTTACCTATTAACCAATATAAGATTTCTGTTACTTTTTCTTACCAATATATGTGCGGGAAAGTATTGCGATCGTGAAAATTTTCGAATCTGAGTTTTCAAAAGAAATACACGTTTTGAGGTCCCCTGAGTCCAAATACTCAAGTCCCACAAAATCATCGGTGTGTGTATATGTATGTGAACAGCCTAGCTCAAAAACAAAAAGTCTTACGAAATGGAAATTGCTTATTAAAGGTGTTTTATATGTCTGGGATGTTACAGCAACTTTATGGCCAAAATCGGCTAACTGGAAGTGGCATTTCATAACATCGATTCATTATATTATATTCGTTATATTGATTACATTTATTATATCAGTGTAAATTTAAGTAGGTTTTAATAGGGTTAATACAATGTAGGTTTTATTCTTATTGATGTTCTCTAACGGGGCTTAAATGGCTAATTTTTAGTATTAGCTTCCTCTAAAGTACCTTTAATTTTTTTTTTATTTCAAATAATTAACCATTTCACATTAATCTCTGATATAAAAATATATAAATATAAAATACGAAAGAATTTGATGATTAACTAAAGGAGAAAAAAAAATATCGTAACGGACTCACCAAGCTCGCTCGAAAGATTACAACAGGCTTCCATACGTAACATGAACTTAATATAATACGTACTCCGACAATATTATGTACATATACATATACGGTTTTCATATGTGCTATCGTTGGTATTATTTAATATTTAATTGTATCGATTTCAGCGATATAAAAATTAAAATTTGTATATTTAAAGATGCTTAAACAAATAATAATACCCACAATGAAATATAAATAAATATACCGTCTGTAATTTTCACTTTCAATTCCCCTTTTTCTGAAAATATTTATTTCTGCTAAGAAGAGGGTGGTAAGTAAAAGTCGTGTGATGCACGCATTATATTTTTTAAGAAAGAATTATTTCTACAAATATAATTTTTCTGTTCTCTCTGCAGGTCTCTAAGTATTTTAAATTGGCCCTTTCACTTATCACCGTCAGTAACATTTTAACTCTATTTTAACCTAAGTGAGGAAACAGCAAAAAAAAAAAAAAAAAAAAAATCAGTAATATTAATATTCAAATATCTTTATGGAAGGGTTTAAATTTATGCGTTTTTCGTCAGTGTACATTTCCTTCTACGATTATCTTTATACTGGATGTCCCTTGAGTAGAAATACCATACCTGAAGAGCTATGAAAAAGTTTATATAAACATTGGTTCGATTCTCGGCAGAAAAGTGGGAAATTTAAGGTTTTTTAAAATTAAGTTAAGTTTTTTGTTGAATAGGAAGCGATAACTAAAAAACAATAGCTTCACTATAATTAAGATAAAATTTACTTTAAATGAAAATACAGTTTTTCATTATTAAACTATTTAAAGAAGACTTCTGAGCGGTTAAACTAAACTAAGTTCTATTTTAAAGAAATCATAAATTATTCGAAATTTTTTTTTTATCATCCTACAACTATACTACAGATTCCTTATTTTTAGAAACAACTTAATAAGCTTTAAGTCCATATTAATTAATTCAATGTAAAAACTTGAGATCCATTTCAAGTTGTGTAAAATACTTTATGTCATTATGTAATAATACATTATATAGTAATAAATAATACATTATGTGTAAAATAAATTATGTCTCCTAAATGTGCCCGTGTTTTTAGCAAATATTACTGCAATAAATTATTTAAATTTAAATTTTATTTTTTTTCGATGAGCAGCATAGTATCTCTAGGTTGTTGGTTGGTTGTTGTATAGTGAAGGCGTAAAATCTTAAAAAAATATTAAGAATTGGATAAAATTAAAAAGATTTAAAATGCACGTTAAGGTAAAAGTTGTTTACGAATATTAAAGTTTAGTTATTTAAAGTTAGCACGTTAGGTAAAAGAGAAAAAAAAAGATAGGAGAAAAAAAAGGTAAAAGGAAAAAAAGAGATGGGTAGTGCTGTGTGAGAGATTCAGAGATTTTTAAGATTCCTACTTGGGAGAGACAACATATGATTTTGCCTAAGATTTTTTCATCATTTCCCAAAGCAGCCGATGTATTTGCTGGTGGTTATGTTTAATCTGTGATGTAAAAGACACAACTCTCGAAGATATGGACGGTATTATTTATTATATCGGTTAGTATAGTATTTATTGACGGTAGGCAATAAAAATCACGTAACTCCGTATGTTTTTGTAAACCTCATAACTCTATATATGTCTCGAAATGTTTTAAAGTAAATCTGTGATTTAAGCTATGAGTGATTATGGATTGTAGTGCTGTTAGTTCTTAAACTATTATTTTTCCGTTGTAAAGTTTACTAAAATGAAGTAAGATCAAAAGTCGTTACACTAATTATAAGTTTTGGATTTTCACTAATTATAAATGTTGGAATTTCACAAAGGGAAAATTCGACAAATTATTCACTACTCAAATTTTCTAAAATGTATTGATTTTTCAGTATTAACCGACGATAGATTTTTAATTATTTCAATGTATAATATTGAATCCATTGTGATTAAACTACAATAAATGTATTTAAGGTTATAAACATATGTTCTACACTTTCATGAAATATTTCACTTCTTCGTTTACACAAGTACAATAAAATAGTTTTTTTACCAAATTCATTGCCATGATTCAGTAGATTTTATATATTTTTTTGAAACATAAAAATAATTTTATAAGTTTACAAGAAGATGGCTCCGTGATTAGAGTGCTACCTCATATCATTAGAGTGCTACCATTGCGTATTTACTCAGCAAGTGTTTTCATGTCATTATATCCATTTTGTTCAAATTTACTCGATGTGTTTATTTAATACAGTTGTAAATATCATTAAGAAATAATAAAAAAATAAAAAAAAGTTTACATTTTGTTATGAAATATCGTTTGATTTTCTTGAAAACATGTTGTTTCCGTTAAATAATATAAGTTTGGAGAAATTATTATTGATAATATTTTCATCACTCTCAATTTCCTTCTACGATTTTTTATAATGTATATTTTTTCTTAAATTCTCACTTTTTCAATGATATATATTCGGATATCTCCTGATATTCGGAAAATCATTTTCAACCTAAATAATAATAAAATAAATAAACACTCAACTAAATAAAAAAATTTCTTTTTTCCTCATTTAGTCAATCATCATATTCTTTCAAAGGCTATATTTATCCTTATTTTGTTACATTTAATAATAACATTTAGTTAATTATTTAAAGTAAACCAAACTAAATGTATTTTAGATGAACACATTTTGAACATTCAAATCCTGTTTAGAGTGCTACCAGTTACTGAACAAGTGTTTTCACGTCATCATATGTTCAAATTTAATAAATGTATTTCTTTAATACAGTTCTATGTGTGTATTTAAATATTTATTTTGTTAGATTAGTTTATATACATTTACTTTAGTATTATTATATCCCTGTTTATTATTTTTATTTACTGTGCATAGTATGAATGAGCTACTCTATTTAACTATTGCTATTGTCCTTGAATGTGACAGATTGTAATATATCTGAATAAAGAGTATTATAATAATTATTTTAAAAAATACAGTTGTAAATATTATTAAGAAATTAAAAAAAAATCCTGTTAAGCGACATCAATGGCGATAAGACCTACCTGATATTAAAGACTTGAGACTCGGAGTTTAATGAAAATTGTTAAAGCCGTTTTTGGGAAAATTGTAAAAGGGTGGAAAATTCGTGATATAAAGTCGCACTTTCGTTTCGCAGAATTTCAAATAAAAAATCCTGTAATACCCCAGGCACTGACATTTATTTATTTATTCATTTATTAGAACCATACCGTGGCATTGATGTAATTCTGCAAAACCCGTTACCTTGGTTATGACACGTGCATAACCGCCTGCTTCTGCACTGAGACCAATTTCCATGTTCAAATCTCCTGTTTATGGTCTTATTCCGTTCCTCCTTGTTCGGGCGGCTTCCCTGGCGTGGGTCATCTTATTGTGAGATTGCTTCTTTTTATTATTATTTGTATTTGTATTATAAAATTATTTGTTGTACGGATAGTTTTCTTCCGTGGCTGGATGAGGGAAATCGTTCTCCTTTAGAACATACATAAAGACCAATCTCCTCAGCAATTTGGCCCTTAGCGACTTGAAGGCGGTGCAGTTCATGATAATATTCTCAGCAGTCTTCGGAACCCCACAGCTAGAGCTTAAAACAGTGCATGTGAAGGGAGAATTAGAAGAAATGTAGATCATATCCAATTTTTTTTTTTTTTTTTTGGTCCTTCCCTTCCTCTCCTTTAAGGCTATACGGGGTTTTCCCGAGCCAGGGGGTGTGGGCAGAGATTTAAAAGACTTCCTGGGCACCGGGACGCGAACTCGTGACTATTATTAATCCTTTGAGAGAGAGAATCACTTTATTATCATAAAAAGGTGCTGCCCAATTACATTGGGTTGCTTTAAACACAGCATACTTATTAATCGCTACAGAAAATTTTCCAAAACTAATATACAATTATATAGTATTAACAATATGTATGAGCATATTATACAATTTTTTTTAATCTATATATTTTTTTATTATAATTTTTTTCCTATATTTTTATTTATTAATTTTTTTTTATTATTATTATTTTTATTTATTTTTTACTATTTCTTTCATTCATTTATTAGCGTTATACTTACCTTTCTAT